AAAACTGCAGAAATACGGAAAAAATTAATTTAGTGCCTTTCTTGTAAATTGTATAACCTTGCAAAGAAAGGTCATGTAGAGCTGGGAGATGTCTCATTTTAATCATAAATTTGCGCGCTACAATCCTATCTGATTATAAAAGGTTTTTCTTATTTTTTGGAGTTTCTGAAAAACTGGTTTTCCAGAAGACTGGATCTTCGAAGGGCTGAGGGGAACTCCCATATTCATATTCCGAATCAGCATGATCGATAACCTATAATCCACTAGATTTCGATTAAAAAGCGATTGAACACTTGGGAACGTTCCCTCGTAAGATATTGAATTTTTTTAAAATTCGGTCGTTTTTTGAAATTTTAACTACGTACAGTTTTTTTAACCAGTTAAAATTAACTGTATTACGTTCATAAATCCTTTTAAAGCCACATTACCAACATTCAAAACTATTATCATAAACCGACAGCTAATGTCAAATTTTTTGGTTGTAAATAAGTGAATAAATCGTGATTAATCGAGCACGTCAAGTGTTTTGTCACTATGATGTGTGATCAATGATGAAAATGTCTACTTAGAATCAAATTCATAAGTTTTTTCAATTTATTCATAAACTTTGATAAACCGTTACATAAGAGAAAATCAACAATGCCTTCGTTGTTGTCCAATTAACTCTATCATAATTTCTTCACAATTCTGATACAACTCGTACTAATCTTCAAGTAAACATGATTGTTTACGTTATTCCTCTAGTATGTAAGAATATCATCTCAGTTATATTGAAATAATCGATATGCACTCAATTAAATTATCTTTAAAAAACAGCTTTAGAATCAACTATTTGCGACACAATATAAAAAATTCTAATCTTTTTTTAGAAAATGTGAGGCATATGTATCTGTCTAATAGTACCTCGGTTTTGAATAAATCTACACATTATCAGTTTCGGCTGCAATGCTTCCGATGTTAACGTGTTGTTTTTCGTAGATATTTTTTGGGCCTCTATCGCAGATTAAGTTCAACTTAGACTAAGTTGTATCATTGTTCAAATAATTCAGACACTGTTTGAGTTTTTTCTGTCAAAAATACACTTATCAGCTGTTTACATGAACAACATACATACACATGTAATGAAATAGAAACAATAAATTTTGTCATGCATGATTGCTTACTAAAACTGCTTTTCTCAATTGTCTAAAAAAATTTGTTAAATAACATCATGTACTACGTTGGTCAAACTATGACATCGTATTACTCATAACAAAAATATGGATGTTGAAAAGATAGCTAACATGATATTGTGGATGAATCGTTAGTTTCAGACGTAAAATCATGTGATTCATCGTTTGCTTATCACGTGTATTACCTGTACTAAATAAACAACAATAATGATAACTATGACTGAAGCAGTCGATAGTGTAAGACGTTTTGTAACAGATCAATAATTTTTTGCCGTTGATAAAATGAATTCAATTTTTGCGTCGCTACGTCGTCGGTTTGCTGTTAATACGGGTATGAACGAAGCTGATCAACATTTATCATCTATTAGATAAATCATTTATCTAATATGTTTATATATATTTAGTAAATAATTTGTTGCTATCATAATAAAATGAATGCTAATTCACTTAACATAGCCTCCCCATCAGACCCGTAGCCAGGATTTTGCTAAGGGGGGATGCACTATAGATGTAAGTTGATATATCGGTTTTCTTACATTTTGTTTTTTGGTTGTTCTGATTCCAATATAGCCGTCCGTGCGACAGCGATTGGTTCAGAAAACTAACAGGACGCAGAAGGATTGCATCCATGAAGCACACGAAAAAAATGATGAATTTAATACGCCACTTGTCTTTGCAAAAAATGTTGATAACGTCTTGCACGTTTAAGTTCCTTGCAACATCACGATGAATGTGAATTAAGGCGAGATTGCTCAACCGTTCATCACCAATGCTATTAGTAATTTTTACTTATGGAGGTCCTGGCTACGGGCCTGCTCTCCATACCATTATTCTTTCGATTATCTTGAAGAATATTTAGACAAAGGTCTAAGGTATTATTCAGATGTTCTACTCGATGAACAACCACTAAACACTACTAATATAAGTTTAATTATCGTCGTTCATCCATCAGCAGATATCATTCCAAAATTGAACTAACAGAGACAATTATAATAACTAACGAATTACGAGCACTTATTGAACAAACATCAAACAATAAAAACACTTATTTATTCTTCACAGGTAGTGATAATAATTTAAACAAATATTCCACAGATGGGGAAAAAGATTCGAATGTCTATGATACGTTGGATCAGCGTAGAAGTTTTGTTCAATCAAATCCAACGTTGTATAATAATACAAGTGATAGTGACGGTAAGATACATCATTAGAAATATAATTAAACGTCAACTAACATCAACAACAACAAAACAGGCTAACATAAAAACACTTGTTCTAGGTGATGATTCGGAGGAGCACATTTACGAGACTCTTAAGTTTCATAGTCCAGTCACAAATAAAACAGTTGCACGTACATCGATATCAGACGCACAAGAACTGCCACCAAAATCCGCCTATCTATTGCCAACCTCGTTAATTTCTTTCGATCATTTTACCACTAATCTTTATCTCGTTGTTAACACATCATTAAATCAAATTTTGGTAGTATTTGGTTCCACAAAAATTCATACTATAAAAGTATATGATACAGATGGAAAAAAGGCAAAGAATGATTTAATTTTAAATTATAAATATGAAGATCTTCACGGCTATAGAGTCTTGTCCTATGCACTTAATAACAGTAACAAATATCGTATTGTCGTTAATGAAATACGCGTCTACGCCAAATCATTACCACTTCCATCAAAAGTTGTTACCGATGAGTTTGAACAAACAATGAAACAACGTTTACTATATTTTGACAATACCGGGGGATATGTATCTGCGACAAAACGATTACCAGTGCAGAATGAAATATCTTGTGTCGAAATCGACCGTCATACAACATCGATTTATGTCTATGATGGAGAATCACTGATGTGTTTAGACCGTGAATGGAGAGTATCACTTGAAGATGTCGAGTGTATCGCGTGTGGACGCACATTTCTAGTTTGTTTACACATGAAAAATAATCAAATAAGTGTCTATAATACGACGACCGGGCAATTCAACTACCGTTGGTTGATATCATCGTCGTCTGTAATAAATTTACAAGCTGTGCATTTATGCGTCTCTAGAAATGATGAAATTTATATATTAGCTTGGAATTATGATGTGTCACCACCTAATAATTTTATCTTGGTATTTAACGAAGAAGGACACTTCCAACGAGAAATTTACATACCGAACAGAATGACACTCAATTCACATGGAAAATTTGAGTATTCAATGACCATTGGTAATGAACAGCAAACACCCCAAAATCAAATTTCAATGCTATGGAAACTCCAGCACATGAAACAGAAACTGCATGTTCCTCATCTTCCATTAGCCAGTTCAGATTCATCATCGTTGTGGATGCAAGAACCGTCACAGTTAGTTTGGGGAACACCCTCTCAATTTCCATTCGCATCATATCGAAATGCATGGGCGTACCAAGAACCATCTTTGAATCATTCACATTTGACACAAGAGGAATTAGGATTCAATGGTAGGCAAATGCTCATGAACCTTTCAGAGTCAGAATACAATGATCCGACGATATTTAGAGCGTGTTTCATTGCCATCACTGATGATCGTACATTAATCGTATCTAATATTAGTGACCTGGATTTGGATGAAGATATCAGTCAAGTATCGGAAATTAGACTAAATAGAAAAATTATCTTTTTCCGTCTTTAAACTTAAATGAATGTTTTTCAATAAAAGCTATCTGTAGAACTACTGAAGTGGGTTAAATGAACCACTGATATTAAGAGTTTTAGACTATGCTAAAACACGTGAAAAATGTATGCTCTTGTATTAAAATATTTTTGATAAACTCAGTCGAAAACGTTTGCTTTCTGGAATCCAAATCATTTTTCGTATTTGTAAAAACTATTGAAAAACCTGAAGGATTTTAATTGATTTTGATTCACAAATTCGATGTTTTTCGAATTGTACAGACTACCAAAGATAATTTAACGCCAATGGACACTACGGATTTGCTATTAGACCATAAGACGGTCTTACATCCGCTCTAAAATAACATTTGACAGTGAAATGAATGTTACCACGATGATTAAGAGGGTTGATATCATCAAAGCTCCTATTTGCTGTGAGTGTCAGATTTACATCAGCTTGAAGAAAAATATAGTTATCTCATGAAACCATTCAACCTTCCATTATTCATTGTTTTCTACTTTTCTGATACATGTTTTTCTGAAAGTTCTTCTGAAGGTTTGTCGGAAAAATCATTATGTTTGGGATCTAAAATTCGCAACTAGATATACTAATTAAATACACACTTTTGCATATTACATGATAAAATAAAAATTATAGCTGTCGTAATTCGTCCAAAGCACAAATCTTCCTAAGGCACCGATCAGAATCCTCCAAGTTTTTTAAAAGTTTTTACAAGTACAGAAGATGATTTGAATACCTAAAAGTAAAGTTGTTTGAGTGAGCTTAACAGAGATGTTTTAATACAAGAGTAAACATTCTTAATTTTCATTTTTCTGGAAGCCTTATGCGTAAAAACTAAATTATTTAAATTTTAGTTAATAATTTGTAATTTACCTTAGCAATTGATAATGAGTCTTATACATTTTCTATGTCATGCTTCTAAGTATACATTCTAAAAAAGACTGCGACTTCTCTCATGTGTCTATCGAGAAAAAGTGCCTTTTATGTGACTAGATTGCGTCTTCCATAAGTCTTTAATATGTCTACGCGTAGGAACGCACATGAAAGTTACACTCTAGTCGCATGGAAGATGTTTGAACAAGAAAGACGCTTAGTTGCATAATATATTCCGGTCTGTCGTTAGTCCTCTATTCTGTTTCTTAGATCGATATAGCTCTAATACAACATACTGTAGAATTTTTTTAAATACCGCTCAGGTCGAACTCACACGGCAGTAAACTACATTTTACGTCAAAATACGACGAAAGAAACCATGGAGAAGGATTACGACTGTCGTAAACTGTGGTTTATGATGAAATACGATGACAGTATTACGATCATCGTAATACTTCTCCACGAAACACAGATTACAAAGAAATACTATCGTAAACGCCAAAATACGATGTCGTAATTTGACGTATTACGATCGTCGTAATCATCGTTCTGGGCGGCGGTTCAACAAATTACCGCTGGGTTAACTGATGGTAATTTATTAAACCATAGTACAGCAAAATACGGCACGGTAACCGTTTTTATACACTCACCGTTTTGCTTATATAATCCCCGTCAGTACATATAAGAAATAAAGAAAAATTCAAAAAACTTGTTTTTCTTCCGATTAAACTTTTCTTTTAGGTCATATAGACTTGTCGACGTTTGCACTTCTACTCGAGCCAAATTTCTACTAATCGTGCGCTTCTCTGCGATTACAGATGCTCAACAAAAAAAAAGAAAACTGAAAACTAGATTCGAACTCTCGTTCCACTTGTTCATTCTAACGACAAAATACCAGACGATACCGGCGGTAAACCAAACGTTGGCCGTGGTTACTGTACGATAATTTTGATTTTGCTACCGGTATAGCGGTCGGGGTACTGAACGGTGACCGAACAGTAACCGGGCGATCCTTTTTCGATTTTGAGAACATGGGTTATAGATGAGAATATGGGTTGTTATAACTGCCTCGTTTTGTAGTTGCATAAACATATGCAGTAAAACTCATTATCATCGAAAATTCAGGATTACTGGCTATACTCGATTTAAGCACTACAAAAAAAATCCAGAACAGAACGTCTTTTCCTGGAGGTCAGACCTGCCTAAAAGTTTTTTTTCAAAGAAAATTTACTGTTTGTCTAAAGCTTTCTTATATATTACAAAAAAGACATTACTGCCGATATTTCAATTTTTTGAAAAGAAGAAAGAACAGATTAAAGAAAAAACAAAAGTTGACTAAATATAGAAAATATGAACTATGTATGACACTATGAATGAGCGGTGAAATCAATCACAAAAAAGAAGGGTTTTTGATAGATTGTTAGAGAACGCAAGAAAACCAAAACGTTGCATTCTTGATCTCAGTTTAGATATAGAATGAGAGGTCTAATCTCTCTATAGACCTGCCATTTACCTCCCTATCGCGGAAAAAGACAAGAATTTTCCTAAAAAAGAATTTTCCTGCAAGACTTCATTATGTTCATTTTACTTATCAACATTTTTTTACCTATTTATGTTCAGAACGTGAGAAGCTCGGAGAAGGGCAGATCTTTCACTAAAAGTTCTTCGAAAAATCTGAAAAGCTAGAAATAAAATTCAGTTGAAAATGCTGTTGCATTCCAAAATATAGAAACATTGCTTTTCTATCTATCGCCTCATCATTTGTAAAGACAAAAATGCTTTTACACTTTATATGTTTATGCAGTTACAAAACGAGGCAGTTGTATTGAAGACAGTTCTAAATTATGTTGTATTAGAGCTATATTGATCTAAGAAACGGAATAGAGAACTAACGATAGACTGGAATATATTTTGAAACGCTACCTTAGAAGATGTGACTACCTTAGTAGCCACATATTCGTGGATGCCTTGAAAATGTCGATTTGTAGATTAGTACCGCTTGACGTATGTTTTCTTAGAGACGTGAATCGGGATTCAATTTTCATTGCGGATGTAGAAGCGATTTCTAACTCTATTTCCTATTTAATCTGATGTACTAGATAAAGATTGAGAAGACTTGAGGAAATGTACTGCGTGTGCTGTGTTTACGCGAAGCTCTTGACTTTTTGGAAGAAGCGGATAGAAGTTATTAATGAGAAGCCTTACGAAGTTTTAGAGAAAATAGTAAAGACTGTCAACTTCAGCGTGCGAGACAAGCAAATTATCAGAAAACGGCAAAAAAGAGCAATCTTTTTTTGCCCTAACGACTTCCATGTATTTCTGCTTTAAGTCTTTATCAAGTCTCACATGAAACGTACACATAAGAGATTATTAAGACTAATAATTGATGTGCCTTGGTGGTTCGATGGTGAGCGTATTCCTCTGGTAAGCGAACAGGTCGAATTCAACGCTCGATAGAAGATTTTATTAAGATGTCTTTTCTAGAAGATACATGGAAGCGACTTCAAAGGAGCCGCTTTAATACGGTGGAATGGAAACGGACTTTAACGTCTTCCTAGAAGTCGCATTTTTTTTAGAGCGTACTTAAAAGAAACGATAACTGTTTAATACATAGCAATTATTTAACATTCTTATAAAACATATGGACAATAGACAATTCAACACCTTTTCTACGTGATGTACATGTTGGCAAACTCTTTTTTACAACGTTTATGACAGATTTATGACATCAGAAGAATCGGCATTTTTCAGCACATTATTAAGTTCGACATTGATCCAAAGTTCAACTAAATATTTTGAAAGCTTTAATTACCGATGGAAATTGTTGTTGTATTAATAGAGTCATCGTCTAATTAATTATTATCGTCTAATTAATTAACGATTATTAGTCAAATGTGGAACCAAACTTTCATAACATAAACAGCTTCAACGTAAACTATTGTTAAAATGAATTAGTGTAAAAAGAAATTGAAGAAAATATTGTAGATTAGTGGACTTCAATTTGTTTGAATATCGAAATCATCCTTTCAAAATTAACCTTCTTTCGAATGTCATAGAATTAGTCTAGAAGTATTGTTGTTGTGTAAGTGCCATATAAGTAACAACAATGGATAGCGCCACATTAAACTTGAATTATTATTATCGTTCAGTCGATTATAGACATCCCAATTCATATTTGATTATCGACGTACCAGTGGACGAGAATGATTTTTCAAGCCGATATGCTCAACGACGTATTGTTAGTGATGGTGTCTATAATTCTCATAATGTTAAAGAAAAATACAAATGTCATTGTCGATTTTTCTGATCAACTGTAAAATGTTATATGTGAACGATGTTATAAAGGAGTAAAAAAACTGACTAATTTGCAATTAAAATTCCTTATATTGAGCGAATTTTGTTTTCGATTGTATACATTATAATAGAGAATCTTATACATCCAACTGTATGCCGTTGGGAAATGGTATTCAACTGCACATAGATGAACGTTAGTATTAGATGAATGTTTTTCTTGAGTGTATATTGTTATTTAATAATATTTTTTCACTTTTGATTTTATTAGAAGAGATTGGCTTGTAATTTTTTGGATAGTTTATCTGTTTGGAATAATAATGCTACTTTCCGATTATTTGAAGCAAAATCATCAGGGTAAGACTAACTACAAACTCAATCAGATATTTCTAGATGTTCCAATCTTGACAGCTATTTTCCCTCGGTTTGCAATAACAATGTATTGTAGATACAATCTTGTCTTTTTCTTTTGATTCATGTAATTTTAATTGAAATGAATATATAATTGACATAACCATAGGTTTTTCACTCTATAATAAACTATTCGAATATTATAGACAAGCATACCACATGAAATTTATTTAATTTACGAACTAATTCGCCACGATTATACTCTCTCTTCTTTGACGAGAATTAGAGCATCATGCAATCTATTTCTTCAGTATCTTTAAGACCTATCACGTCAAATGCCTCGTAATCAGAAACCTGTTAAAGAAAAAAAATTATTGATCAAGCAAAAAATTTTCTGTATATTATAACATCGTCAGTTTTAGCTTATATATTTGTTAAAACTAATATACTGTTGTATAATCTAAACTGTTGTACTATTGACACCACGTCCAAATCAAATCGTATCTAACTTAGCGAAATTACAAATGAAAACATGTTCAATATTCACTAATAGCTGAAATTTCAATCGGCATTTTTGCCTATATTTTTGCATTTTGCTTCTCTTATGATTTTCGAACGTAGACATACATACAGAGCTGTGCAACATCTTAATCTGAAGAAAGAAAGTGTACTGAACGTTTTGAGACGGTCCTCCTCTCTACCCATGTCATCAGAACCGCTAAAATACCGTCGGTTACCGCAGCGGTCACCGTCGAGTATAATGGAAGGTTAACCTAATGGACATGTGAAATTACCGCACGGTCTACCGAATCGCGTGGTATACCGGTCGGTTGTATCGGCGGTATCAACCGGTATTTTGTCAGTGTGAGCAAACAGTACAGGAGTTCGAATCTAGTTCTCAGCTTACTTCTTTTTTCAGTGCGCATGCAGCGCAATGAGGTTTCCGAACGGGAAAAACTCGACTCAAGTCAAAGTGCAAATTTCGACGAGTCTCTATAACCTGAAAGAGAAAGTTTAATCTGAAAAAAATCAAAGTTTTTTTGACTTTTCTGCGTTTCTTATATAGACTGACAACCGAAAAATAAAAAGGCGATTGTGTCAAAACGGTTTACCGACGGTGTTTTCTTGTACGGCGGTCTGAAAACTACCGTGCGGTAACCGTCGGTAGAAGAAACCGTCGCTAAACCGGTTGGTAATACGAACGGTACGGTTAACCAGCGGTAATCTATAGACCGGTTGGTAACCGGCGGTATTACGAAAAAAAGTGCGACATGGGTACATATTGTGTCGTTTAGAAAATATTCGAGAAAAATACAAACGCGTACTTCTTCTTCTGATAAGTTTTGAAAAGTAGTTCTTTGTATTTTTGTTATATGCTCTAAACGACTCAATATGTAGAGAGGAGGATCGTCTCAAAACGTTCAGTACACTTTTTTTCTTTAAATTAAGATGTTGCACAGCTCTGTGTGTATGTCTACGTTCGAAAATCATAAGAGAAGCAAAAAAAATAACTTTATCAGAACAACCCACTTGTGATAAACATTTTTTCTGAGATCTCGCTATTATTACACAGAGTAAATGTTGAAAGTTAATTTAGATACAGTATATAATGGCTTATAGCTTTTCTTTCCATATAATTTGAAAATGTAGCATGTGTAATTATCTTTCGTCGTTCATTATTGATTAACGTAAAATTTTACTTCCATTTAATGCTTTTTATTCACTTAAAATATTGCATTAATAGTCCTCTTTGATAAAGTATGTGTATGCGGTGCGGTGCGTACATCTTTGCTACTAATTATCTTCCATTAACGGTGAGAGAAAAAGAAAAATAGTGGAAATAGTATATCGAAGAATAGACAAGTATAGATTTATTAATCATTTTACATTGATAGATGACCTACATATAACAAACCAGAAATTAAAGTGAGTATACGTTGAAAAGATTATAATGTCATTTTCTCCGTGATAATCATGCTTACGAGTATATTGCAACTGATTTTTGAAAAAAATAGATAAGTTTAGCTTATTATTTGCTTTTCTTGACTCACGCAAGTTATACGATAGAAAAAGAATATCAGTTCATCTAGATAATATTTTCTTTGTGAGACAATATCTAAATAAGTTTTCTTAGCATAAAACTTATCTTGAGAATTTTAATATTTATAAATACACAACTAAATGAAAATATAAATATTTTCAATTTCGACAGAATAAAAGACAGAATTGACAGAATTGACAGAATGAAAGACTGAAAGACAGAATTTAAAAAGAAACTATCGTTAAAAATGAAAAGTACAATATATGAAACATTATTTGTTCTTCATAATTATTCAATGTATGTGTCTGTCTCACATGTTGAACACGCTCATTGAACAATCGATTATAGCTGTACACGTTATTTTCTTCTTTTTTTTTATTATCTTTATTGAAAATCTAAAAAAAAGGAAAAAAAAAAAAAGACGAAAAAGAATGGGAGAAACTACTGTTATATTTTTAGAGACACAATTTTTTTTTTGTTGTTGAATAAAACCATAGATAAACTTTAGTATTGTTCATTGAATTATATTTCCGTAAAAAAACGATCTTCTATATCATTTTATACGATATGATAAATATAAAAATAACTGAGATACAAAGGTGAAAAATTGTTTGACAATATTTTGATTCTATTATGTCTAATAAACAACTCTTAAAAGAAAAAATATAAGATCCTTCTTCCTTGTTTGATTGATTGTTAAAAAAAATTATATTTTTAACTAATTTTCATTTTTTTTCCGTTTTTTTAGAAATTGAAAGAGTTCTTAATGCAATGTTATTCTTTTCTGCCGCAACTGCCCTCTTCCTAGTATTCACCACTATTTCTAGACGAATAATCAATTGTCAATGGACAAATTTTCGTGTTGCGCATAGTCCACCTTATGCAAATGTTTATCTTCAAGGTGATGTTATCCTGGGCGGATTTTTTCCCGTTCATCAACCACCACTATTTGATTCAGCTACGGCAACAAGTTGTGGTTCAATTAAGAAAGATCGAGGAATACAACGTCTGGAAGCAATGTTATTTGCATTGGATGTTGTTAATTTAAAGAAAAATAAACTAATGTCATCGTTATTAGGTAAAACAGATACAAAATTCGGAGCATTAATATACGATTCATGTGATTATGAAAGTTATGCGGTGGAGCGTGCAATGAATATTTTACTACCAAACATCCATTGTTTTCCGGAAAAGAAAAATGACGAAAAATCAACTTTGCCTGTGGTAGGAGTAATTGGAAGTGCGTCATCGGTGGTATCAATGGCCATCGCTGATATTTTACGTTTAGCAGAAGTAAGTAGCGTAATATTAATTTATTCAGAATCAGAATAGAATTTGTGGTTAAATCATGTTCGTTATCACATGAGGTATTGATAATTTCGAATGTATAATAGAGTACATCAGGGAATTGATAACATTTCTATGGTAATTTTGATAATAGTCACTCGAGAACCAGTTTTTATGAACATTTTCACTAGTCACTAAAGGCATACTTCAGCAAATTATTTTTTCCTTCGTTTTTATACTAAAAAAGAGTAGCTGAAATAGTTGATGTATTATTTTTCCTTAAAACAATAGTCATTTATCCAGAAGGTAGTCCTTCTACATAAACGCCACTATTGATCTATTACTTTGTGATACACACTTATCCTCAAAAGATAACTCTTTTATAAAAATAGCTTTTTATGCATTCAAATGATGATGGTTTCAAATATTTTAACAAGTAGAGAACTTGCTAAGCTCATATCTGAATATGAGCATAGATTTAAACAGTGAGTTGAGGCTTCCTGTCTATTCTTGTAATAGACTTTTAATAAAACTGATTAAATGTACTATCTCTGTATACGATGAGATTGTTTCTTTTTGATTTCCGGTTCTTTCAAATAGAAAAAACTGTATGCTTAGATTAGACGATTTGCTTTCGTTTGCTCCGATAGTTATTATCCCTCCTCTTCGCTATCTGGCGGAATAACAGGATAATAAAAGGAACAGTATATACTATTGTTCGTTTATCAAATTATCAGAAACGCAAGATGACGATGTTAGTAGTAGTAATCATCGTTGTTTTGTGTGAGTATAGGTAAAAATAAAAAGACTTTTTTCCTTGTTACCCTCGATCTGTGGAAAGAGGGAAAAAGAGAAAGATATATACATAAAGAAACAAAAACTGATGGTGTTCATTTGCTTTGATGATGATTATAGCATTTCCGCTGTTTCCTCCGGACATTTGTAATTGATTCTCTCTCTTATTTGGTGATGGTAAAGAGGAAGAAAAAAAAAGTAGTAGTAAAATGATTAAATTAGTGTGACAATAAATTATTTTAAGAAAAATATGCTTACATGACAAACAGAAGTCGTTATAGAAGCGGAAAGAGAAATTTGACAACATCTCAAAAATACAGGACCAATTTTCTTCCTCCTCGTTTACTGATCAATTCAAATTATCGAAAAATCATATGCATGCAGACTCAGCTATTATGAACTTCATCAAAAATTCTCGTAATAAAGTTTAGAAATTCTAGTACTCGAAGGACCGAGGACGGTTTCTGCAAGAAAATGGCCCTAGATATTTTTGAGAAGATAACGATTGGAACTGATCGGGAACCGTTCGCTATTTAATTTTTAATATTTTTGCATCTTAAAAACTGGTTGTAGACTACCGTCTACTGAAATTTTTAATCATTTCTAAGCATCGGTCCAAAAAGCCTATTCGATCGTATTTATTCATTTTTCTCTGCGAGTCCGATATTCTTCATAGAATCTTATATATGAAAATATGCGCAATTACGCAGGCTTTATAGCACATCTTTTCAAACTAATATCTTCATAGAGTTATTGATCAAACATTATCTATGACTATTTCTTCCCGTATATGTAACTCTCATTGAATATAATAAAATGGATATAGTTTTATTAGTGCACCTAGACCCGGAATGGTTTATACATAGAAAAATGTGGAATTAAAAGGCTTACCGAATGAGTTATAACACATTGTTTCAAATCGTAAGTTTGTCAGACTCATGGACAAGATAGTAAACGGATGCAGTGATTTTGACCTATTGTAGAATGGTGACCCAGGTGATTTTTCTGCAACATAAATCTGCAAAAATCTTTGCAGTAACTTTGCAGATTCTGCAAAGGGTCTCTGCAGATTTGAAGCAGATCTGCATTGCAGATGTGCCAAGATTTGACCAAAGATCTGATGCAGATCTGCAAAAAATCTTTATAATTTCTTTGCAGAGAACCTGCAGATTTTACAGTTTTTTTTTGTTTGTATATTTGTGTCAAAACATTTGAAATATATGAAATAAATGTATATCCCACAGTCCCATAGCACACTGAAAAATCTGCAAAAATCTGCAGTTTTTCTGCAAAAAGTCTTTACAGAGAAACTGTAAAGATTTTTTTGCAGATTTGCATCAGATCTTTGGCCAAATCTTAGCACATCTGTATTGCAGAAAAACTGCAGATTCTGCAAAAATTTGTGCAGATCGAGTTTTTTTGGATAGTGAACTATAGTGCTGTAAACAACATCAGAACTAGATTAGTTATCATATAAAAAAATACAGAATTCAACGAGCTTCAAATTAAAATACATTAGAAAATATACGTCAAGCATTTATATTCTGAATAGTATATGACTGTCAAGCGTCATCGTGTACAGAAAACATTCTAAATAAATCAAGATACCTCTGAGCAGACTGTACAGCACTGTTTCATCAAACAGCATTCAATTTGAGAAAGGTCCCATGTCATTAAAATTAGTGAAATTAATCGGAAAACACTCATTCATGGTGCAACATACCCTAAGTTTCGTTTGATGGCTGAGATTAAAATACAGAACAATAGACTGTAGAGATTTATCAAATTCACTCCTTTTGCGGAAAAATTGCTGATCATTGAGCTTCGCAATTGGTCATTTCTGCATTTTCAATGTAGCAAACAACAGCTAAATATAGAAAAAACATTTGGTGAAGGGAGGACTTTTAAAAACAGACGTAACAACCAGTAGAAGAGTATTGTTCTTCTGTTTGTTAAGTTCTATATATATTAAAAAAAGGCGAAAAGAACTCCGCATCAGGCTAGCCTTCTGGTCAGAACTGCAGTTAGTAACCAGCAATGATACTGAAGATCATGTCAGAAGCTTGTCAACTGTAGGAAAGGTATTGGACTATTGAAGCTGACATTTGTCAGCACTCCAGTCAGGAGCAGGGGCGCAAGGCGGAATCTTCTTCCTTCCCTGTTGATTACAGCTTTTGTCTATTTGCATGATAGAAATAGACAATCCATCAACTAAAACAAAAAAATGATTGATTTTAACGACTAATAAGCTGTGCGAAGAATATATTCCTTCTGAAATTAGTAAACTTTGTTGTCTCTCTCACTATTAGCAGTAAGCCATACTCATTTATGCGCTGTGGCTAAAGTTGATTGTCAAATTGCTAGCAATCTAGCCGTGAACAGCATAGTATGGCCCCTTTATTCTTTTAATCGTACTGGGCCTGATATGCACACAATCATATATGTTTTCAATTTAGATTCCACAAATATCTTATGCATCAACAAGTTCCGAATTAAGTCAAAAACCTCGTTTCCAATATTTTTCTCGTGTTGTACCTCCCGATACTTATCAGGCAGAGGCTGTGAGTAAAAAGACAACTCAGATTACTCCTATTTGTTGCATATATGCTTTCTTTTTTCATATTTCTAAAGGTTGTTGAAATTATTCAATTTCTGAATTGGACTTACGTGGCTGTTATTAAAGAGACAGGAAGTTATGGGGAACGTCTAACAGATGATTTTAAAGCTAAATTAAAAAATAAAAGTAAGTTGTTTATTTAATACTTATGCCCTTACTTTTCGTTTCGAGAATTGGTTTTTTTATGATGTTGAGTATTTTTACCCTACTTTTTCAATTAATAACAATTCTGATTTCTTTTCTAAAAAGCTATTTGTATTGCCGGTGAACTCTCTGTCAATATGAAAGATATGGACTCGTATACACGTGTGTTGAAAGATTTGTATGATGATGGAAAATATAAACATGTCTTGGGTATCGTTGTATGTATCATTTTGAGCAGTTAATCTCTTGTTCTATTTATGTGTGTTGAATTTTTTTATCAGGTATTTGCACAGGAAGATTCTATTAGGTCTGTATGTGTACGCGTGAATGTCGTGCAAAATTGTTTCATTAAATATTTCTAGACAGCTTCTTAATCAAACTGCGTCATACAAAGAGGACAAGAGACGGTTAACTTGGATTGCAACAGATGGATGGGGTCGAAAAACATATGCAGTTGAAAATTTTGAAAAACAAGCCATTGATGCCATTACAATCGCTCCAAAGTTATATCCGATCAAAGGTATAGTGTGATATTAAATCTATTTTTACATTTAATGTTTCTTCCCTCTTTAGATTGAATTTTTAATTAACTCTATTTTTTTTTGTCCTTTAATTTGTGATGTTTCGATGTCAAGGTCATCAACAAACAAAATAAATAATAAGATAAAATGCTAAAAAGTGTGATAAAGATGCAAACAAATATGTGATAAAACACACTGATATGTAAATGTATTAGATTGTGGAACAACAGTTTATTGTCTTTTGTCTGCTAAAAATATTCCTGATATCGAAATATCACAAATAAAAAAGATAGAAGAATTCACAAAAAATTCAATCATTATGATTTTTCTAATAGCATTATAATTTCCTCTTTAGATTTTGATTCATATTTCGAATCATTGCGTCCGTCAACAAATATTAGAAATCCATTCTTCATTGAATATTGGGTAATTTTGTATAAAATACTTCATTTCACAAATTGTTTATTAATGAATAATTTTTGTAGGAACAAACGTTCAAGTGTAAATTTAATGATACATCATCGACAATTTTTAATGAAAATTTTACTCGTATTTGTACAGGTACGTTGCATTTTACTCTAAAATTATAAAAACAATGATAATTCTTATTTTAAGACAACGATAGCATCAATCCAGCAACAGCAGTGCCTTATAGTCAAGAAGGTATACATTTTCTTTACTTTAACCGCCTCATATATAAATCCTGAATAATAATAATTATAGGTTATGTTCATTATGTTGTTGATGCTGTTTTTGCTTTGGTCATTGCGGCACAAAAATTAATCAATGAAAAATGTAAAACGGACTCGTTATGTGATGATTTTTTTCCTATTAATGGTACACAACTTCTATCAATTTTACGAAATATAAGTTATAAAAACGGTAAAGAAAGTTTATACTGTATAAATCTATTTAGATTTATTTCCGAATACCAAAAAGAAATTTCAGTTCAGCACTGGAAAAAAAAATAGGTCCGCACTGGTGTGCACGGCGTGCCATGTTGTACTGTCACTGGCTTGACGTCGGTGCCAAGCCAGTGTCAGTAAGTGCTGGGCATGGATCCACACCGATGCCAGAACGAACGTCAAAAACTCGTAGTATTAGACCAATAGAATTTTGTCAATAAATCCAACACGTTTATCCTAAAATCTAAATTTCTCAGACTATGTAGTTTCGAATCGAACTCGAGAAAAACGAATTTTCAATAAGAAATCGAACAATGAGTCAAAAACTTAATTGTTCAGTTTTTGCTACAAGTTTAATAATAGCTAGCATGTGTTTCAAAGAATGTGTCTCACACAGGATATCTATGTGGCTCGGTATCTTAAGAAACAACTAATCAGTTTTTCCAAGCTCAATATCTGATATCAATTTAAAGATGCCTATTTTATATCAACATGTAATTATAATGATGTCTATGGATCTGAAATTGGTTACAAACCATCCTTCTTTGAATTGACGGTCAAGATACATTTGTCTAAGGACACGAAATCAGCTTTCATAAACTCATTTTTAACAGTTTTGGTTCTGAAAAATAACAAACCACACATGTTCAAAAAATTATTATCAATAAGTAACAAGTTTTATTATTTTTAACCTATAAGTGGCGCAGAGTAAGCAACTTTTAGTAAAATAAAGGTAAGAGTAGTGTTACTATGCAAAAGCTTGTTACTTATCGATAATAATTTGTGTACATATGTGGCTTGTTATTTTCTAGAAACCGAAACTGTTAAAAATAAGTTTATGAAAGTTGATTTCGTGTTCTTAGAAAAATTTATCTAGATCATTGATACAACAAGAATAACGCGACGCCCAGAATAAATGTCTCATCCAGTATTTTCTCAATATCTCGGTCAAGGTTGATCGTCAAGTCTCAATCTTTTTTAAAAAGATTCCTCAATCAATTCTCTATACAGAACATATTGAACATTTCTTGATATACTATAAGAATAAAAAAATATACAGGAATTACAGAAAAGCGATTTTGTCTAAAAGTAATCGATTTTTACTAAAAGTAAAAAAAGGGAAAATTTCATTTCTTCGCTTGGGCAAAGGAAAAGGGACTGACTATTCGACTTTGTTTGTTCGGATGTAACAGAAGAATTATGGCATCAGGTTTGGCTTATCTTAAAGCCAGACCTGATGTCATAATTGGTGGTCCTCATCAAATCACACACATTTTCCTAAGTGCGACCGCTTGAGCCTATGAAGAGTCTTAAATACAGCCAGTTGATAGAGCTTTTCGAGAACTACAAAATAATCGTTTTCTCTTTTTTTATATCGCAAAATATAAGGGACTGAAATTTCAAAAACCTGTTTTTTGGGTTGAACGTAATCGATATTGAAGTTTTTCCGTATTTCCTCTGTATTTTTTTATTCGTATAGTATATCAAGAAATGTTGAATATGTTTTGTGTAGAGAATCGAATGAGGAATCTTTTTAAAAAAAGATTGAGTCTTGGCGATCAATCTTGACCGAGATATTGACAAAATACTGGATAGAATATTTATTCTGAGTCACCCTTTACTTGGGGAACTATCTTCGTAAGTTCGAATCGACTTTTTCACCTATAGTGTGTTTTTGTGTTCAGTCCACATACAGAACACTTTCATTTTATTTTTTTAGATTTAAGTCAAAGAAATATTCGTTTCACAGATCAAGGTGATGGTATTGGTACTTACGATATCTTCCAATATCAAGTAATAGATGATAGCGGCAAATTAGGTTATGTCACAATTGGTGATTTTAGTGATAATGATGGTACTGGGGAACAGTATGTATTATTCTGCTGGTTTTATCGGTTAGGATTAAGGATCTTTTTTGGTCTTGTTGGCAAATGTGGGGGAAAATCTGCTTGGCTCCAATTTTATACCAGTGACAGAATCAATGTGTTTTTGATCAGAACTTTGTGTCAAAGTTTTCTATAGATTTTTTGAAAAACTCTAGTTTTCATCCAGCCACATTGATCGAACTGAAATTTTTACCACAAATACTTCAAATCGTATCTAAGGTTGAAATTTGTTTTGTTAAATATTTTTTACTTTTTGAGATATTCGAAAAATATTGAAAACTCCGTTTAAAAACTTGATTTTTCATTTTACAAACCTTCCCACTCCGAAATTTGAAATCGAAAACACTTAAAAACAATTTACAACCTGAGTTGGATCTGAAGTGCCTGTGATATAAATTAGAGCTCCATCAGACTATTTTTTCAAGGGATCATAATGTGACTGAATTGAACGGTTGATCACTGCGAAGGGCGAAACTTCAGCACGAGAAAGGTTAAGCACAGAATTTTCAGCACGGACATTTGAGTACGGGAAATTTCAGCGCTAGGAAAGTTCAGCACCAGGACAGGTCAACGCAAATACTGGTTTGTCATAGTTTTAAAACAAAAGTACGAACTGACAATCATTTTGGGACAAATGATCGTTTACGAACTATGTATGAAGTTATGTATAGATCCCGTCTACAGGTATACAGCTGAATATGAAATTAATATATACATTTTGAAACTGAGTTTAATAATGGAATAATGGGATTACGAGTCGACTGTTTTCGAAAACTCAACGTAGAAGTGGTATGAACAAATGAAGAGACAGTGTTGCCCTTATCATATATTTGTCATTGCTCGCTACAATTCCAACTAACGATGCTATAAAATATTTACATTAAATATTCGTCTCAACATTCTCATTCTTGACTAATATTTACGTTAATTTTAACCATATGGACCTCATAAAATGTATCAGTGTGATCGAGCAGATGGAATTGAAATGGCTATACACTTCGTATAGCATTATGTATGATTCATTATATATAAAAGCTTAAATCATAATTGATGAATACCTAATTATCAAAAATAGATTTTTGCACAGTAGCAGTCATTTATAGTAATGTTCAACCTAATTATCAGAATTTATTCTTTTTCTCGACTTTCGAAAACCGTTAATCAAATGTGCCATTTGGCTTAGGTTACCAAGATGTGCCCAGAGCACTAGCTTTCATCCGTACCACATGTCTGATCGAGAATTTTTGACATATGCTCCATATAAAAATAAACACATTTGATCTCCATATTAATTGTCAGTTCCTACTTTTGTCTCAAAACTATGACAAATCAGTATTTGCGCTGATCTCTCCTGCTGCTGACCTTTTCTAGCCCTGAAATTTCTCGTGCTCAAATTTACATGCTGAAGATTCTGCGCATAACTTTCCTCATTTATGTGCATAATAAAAATATAGGATAAGCCGTATGAGTTGATGGTACTATTTCTTTCTAGTCTTTTCTCCCACTAATAACACAAAAATTCTAATAACAAAATCTAACAAAAAAAAAAATCGTACATGCTTCATTCTGTATTTCTATAAAAAATATGAGTGCTTCAGCTTCCATGCGCTATTACATATCCAGCACATGTCTCTACACCTGCTTAATGGATAAAGCATGGTCGATAACCTAAACAGAATGTAACTTTTATAAGTGTCCAGTATATATTTCAACAAAAAAAAGCAGCAAATTGAACTAGATTTAACGACGATTTCTATAGATCCTCTAGAAATTCTTCTTTGGCTGTTTCAAACTGTAGCATTATTATGACTTGAAAGAGGACGGACACTTCAGAGTATATAAACCAGTCGAAAACCAAAAACCGAATTTTTGAGTAAAAAAGAGAGGAGGTATCCTTAATAACAAAGATAATCTGCCTAATTTTCTTTTTCAATTTTAGTGTACATATTGACTTACAAAAAGTGAAATGGTTTGATCACGACGATGACGGGGTTGCAGCTATTCCACTTTCCTATTGCAGCCCATCATGCAAGTTAGTAGATCTGTTATCCCACAATGAGCCTGTATCAATAGGAAATCATATTTCAGCCCTGGTCATATTCGCACAGCTAGTGATAGCCAACAATGTTGTTGGACATGTGCGCCATGTAAGAGTTTTGAAATCGCCATTAATGACACAGAATGTTTACCATGTTCAGACAAGGAGAAGCCAAATATAAATTCAACTAAATGTGTTAAAGTTGAAGAAGAATACTTATCAATACAAAATGTCATTGCCTGGCCAGCAATCATCTTATCTTCGATTGGACTACTAATGGCCGTTTATACCATCTTAATCTTCATTCGCTTTGGTCGAACACCAATAATTAAAGCATCGAGTCGTGAGCTGTGCTATCTCCTGTTAACTGGAATATGTTTTTGTCATTTATGCGTATGGCCACTAGTACTGAAACCACACATTATCACGTGTTTTCTAATACGTATTAGTGTTGGTTTGAGTTTAACAATTTGTTTAGCAGCTCTACTGACAAAAACGAATCGTCTAGCAAGAATATTTAATAGTACAGCAAGTCGAGGTTTGAAACAGCCATCGTGTTTAAGTCCACGTTCACAAATAGGTTTATGCGGAGGAATTGTGTCATTTCAACTCATAGGTGTTATTCTATGGATTGTCATTGTACCTCCATCCGTCAAACAAAAATCCGAAGAAAAACATAACCAACGGCGTATTATACGTGTATGTCAAACGGACAATGAATACATTGTATTTTCGTTAATATACAATATGGTATTAGTTATTTGTTGTACACTGTATGCGATTAAAACACGGCACATACCAGAAAATTTTAATGAAGCAAAACATATTGGATTCGCGATGTATTCCGTATGTATTATTTGGATGGCATTTTTACTGATCTTTTTTGGCGTTCGGAGTAGCGAAAATTGGTTTCGAGTAAGTTGTTGAGTAAATATTAATCTGAAAGTACATTTGATCATTTTATTCTAGATTCAATTGGTTAGTTTGGCAATCTGTCTGAGTCTGAGTGCAACTGTGATTCTGGTATGCTTATTTGTTCCTAAACTCTACATCGTCCTGTTCAATCCATCGAAAAATATTAATTACAAGTTTAAAACAACTCTTGAAACTTCGACAGCAACAAATAACATGGAAAATTCAATTTTGAATAGTAAGCAACAGACACTATCGGAAAATATTTCAAACGACAGGGGAAAACAAAATTCCATCCGACACCGTCTACCATCGACTGATTACTCCGAAGTGACAATGTGTTCAAAATCTGATAGTGCTGGGTTTGGTGATGAGATACAAATGTTGAACGGAGCTTGTACAGACGCTGAGCGAAGGATAATCCCCACGTGCTATTCAGTGTTTCAGCCGTCGACATCGGTCATACCGGGAAACAGCGCAGAGTCGACGGAATTAATACCAAAACGCATAGAAAATCCATGGAAGAAAATAGGAAATGTTCGAATTAAATGCGACTCCGCTCCACAAGAAGAACATATTCAAGCAGAACACGTGACTTTTGTATAAAAGCTTTAATATCGTTATTTGTTTTAGAGTAGAATATTGGATTTTTCGTACCATATTCCATTAAAGTAATCATCCAAAAATAACTAGTAACGTCGAACACGATGCTGCAGATTGTAAACTCGATTTTTAAATTGAAATATAGGGTTTTTAAAATTTTAAAATTTAATTTAATTTAAAAATCGATTTTAACGAATTTAAAAAGTCCTTCGTTCATATTCCAGGGAATCTGATTCTCAACAACTTTTGTATCCACACTTTGCTTGAAACTACTCCCGTCAAACGAAATTTGGTTCAGGGGGTTGTAAAAATCCATTTGAGTCGAAAATAAGCAAAATTTTGAAGTATCCCATTTGACTTTCATACTTCACCAGTTTGTAGAGAATACTTCGAAGTATATGTCCTAAAGCCTTTTCGCCTTACTGACATTATCTGGCTAAGAAAAAAATTAATTACTTAAAAAAGTATTGTTAAGTTTTTGAGCACGGGCTATTATTACAAAATTTCCTATCCATTTTCCATTGATCATAAAAACTTAGTTCTTGTCTAGATCGATAGAGAAATGTGTGAAGAATATTTACTACGATAAAATATGTAATAATTTTTGCTCGTTTCTTTCTATTATTGACTAATT